GCACCCAGCTATTCCGGGTACAAGCGACAGCTATGGAGGAGGCGATTCGAATCGCCCTCCAAGAAGAGTACAGCCACAAGCAGGCTGGTACTCTTCGGGAAGAGGAACATCGCCACGATGAGAATGGCGTTCCTCGGGAGGCGGAGCATCGCAGCAATGACGCTGTTGCTCCTGCTGTCACGCAGCCCGCTGATACCGGTGCGTACAGCGAGTCCGAGCCCATGGACTTAAGCTCAGCCGAAAGCTTGGTCCGCTGCTATGGATGCGGCGGACACGGACACTACCAGCGTGTGTGTCCCTCGCTCGTCCTCGGGAAGAAGACAGCCCGTGGACCCCAAGTCCGGTGGCGCAGGCCACGGCCAGGTGGACGAAGACTCCCCGGCCACCAGTAGAGGCGGTATGCCCTACTGAAGAGCGCTAAGCCTTCGTGATGGGTGTGCAGGTTGTGCGCACCACGGGACTTAGCCCAGAGAGACGTGGTTCTCTCAAACCGGTGAAGGGCAGTGGTGGGCTGCTGGTAGTACACTCGGTGTACGGGGGTACTGTACCCCTTGAACGTTTGATGAGTTCTGGGGCGTTGATACGCCGCCGGAACGTCGCTTCGCATAGCGACATCCGACTGCACTCTATGTCAGAGTGGCGGTCGTGGGCTGGTCCTTGGTGGACTAGCCTTTGGTACGGTAGTATCAATGGTCCTCAACGGACCTGAACGTTTCGGCTCGATGAGCTCGCGCACCGCGGTGTCGCTCGCAGTTCTCGCCATGAACAACATGGCTGTGCCGAACATAAGGCACAGCCCGGACTTTGGTGTGGCAAGGCTGAGAAGGGCCTACCAGTCCAGGTCTATGACGGAGCATTGGTGAGTCATGTTGTTACCTCCGTCATGACTGGGGCGTCTGATACAGACCGCCAGGACGCAGAAGCGTCACGGAGCTGTCAACGCACCGACAGCTCTGCGTACAGCAAGACCATGCTCCGCTGCGGCAATGCCACGGGCGTGGGTCTTTTGCCCGGCGTGTGGACCTGCTACACCAGCAGCGTTCAACGCCGAAGGTCGTCGCGCCGTACGGGCTTCGACAGTGGTTATGCCTTTAAGCGCTAACCAGGTGGGTAACTCAGGACCACACGGTCGCCCAGACCTTAACTGAAGAGGAAGGCGCTGAATGCGCTTCCTGTGTGGATAACACAGTACCACACGCAGTCGCCCAGACTATAACTGAAGAGGAAGGCATGACCATGCTTCCTGTGTGGGTAACACAGTACCACACGCAGTCGCCCAGACTATAACTGAAGAGGAAGGCATTGTCCATGCTTCCTGTGTGGGTAACACAGTGCCACACGAGGTCTCGAGTGCCTCTGATGTCGTCAACGAGACATCACGACGTGGGTAACGAAGTGCCACGTCACGTCAGCCGCCGCAAGTCGGGTCTGAACCTTGTTCAGGCCGACGTCGCTTCAAACGACTCGGAGTCCAGGGCCCGGACTTCTCTGACTCGGTCGGTGGACACCAACTCTGTCCGGTGTGTGTGCGGGTCTGCTACGCCAGCTGATCCCAACACCGAAGGTCGTCGCACCGTATGCGCTTCGACAGTGGTGGTGCCGAAGGGCATTCACCAGGTGGGTAACATAGGTCCACATTGCGGGTAACAAGTTCCGCAAGCAGCGAAGCTGCTTAAGGAGACCGACATTCGGTGCTCCGAGCGTGGGTAACAAAGTTCCACGCAAGGTCACTCAGACTATAACTGATAAGGAAGTCGCTGTATGCGCTTCCGGTGTGGGTAACAGAGCTCCACACAACCAACGTGGGTAACAGAGTTCCACACCCAAGGCGAGTAACATAGCGCCGCACACAGAGCCATTGGCTCGAGGCGCGAGGTTGTCTTGGCCTCGCCGGACGTGAGCAACTCGATCGACGTCAAGTCGCGCAGACTCAAACTGCTGACGCGAAGGCTGAATGCCTTCGGTCGACACGGCCGACGCGGTCGACCATACCGACGCAGTGCACATGGCGGAGAGCCGTTGCGCCTGACAGTGGCTATTAGAAGCCACGAGAGACTCAGTAGTCTCGAGGTTGAGTGGGGGAGAGGCTCGGAAATACCTTTCCTCTCTGACTTTCCAAGAGGCAGGTAGCCGTCGTGCTGCCAGTGGCTATCACAAGCCACGAGAGACTCAATAGTCTCGAGTGTAAGTGGGGGAGAGGCTCGGAAATACCTTTCCTCCCTGGTCTTGAGGTAAGACCAAGTTCTTTACGGAACCAGGCGTCGATGTACATCGACTGCAGGCTGGAGGCGAACAGCTGGGCTAGAGCTGCGGTAGCTCTAGCCGAACAAGACATAGTGGCGAAGAAAGCCACGGGCGCAAGGTGCCTCGGAATCGCTGAGCGAATCAGCAGTGTTGGGGTTGCAAGCAACCACACACGAGGCGAAGCGCGGGCCTAGTGCAATCAACGCACTGGACCCTTGGTCTTGAACGACCTGTCGAGTAGGGTGAACGGAACGTCTCACCCGCCGACAAAGCGGTTGTGGTACGTGATGTACGCAACGCGCTGGGTATAATGGGCCGTGGAGCCATTACCCAAGTGTGGTGCACGAGTGCACACACAACTGACCAGGTGGTGGTCGAGGCAAGGCACGCAGTCGTAACTGGTGCCGCACCGAGCATGGCACCGTGGTGATGGCAGCTTGCCTCACCATGGGTTGGTACCCGTGAGTACTCGGTGTCAATGCCAGACACCAACGCCGCAGTGGCATGGTGGTGAGATATGCCCCACCACGGTCGAGTACCATCAAGGTACATGGTGTCTGTGACAGACACTGGTATAGGTGCAAAGGATATGCACCATACCACGACCCGATGCGCTCTGGACGCTGTGAGTCAACGCACGTACTGTGCATCGGCACTGGCTGCTGTCGAGCAGCCTGCCAGGAGTTCCACGTAATGAACTCGTCGCGCATGACACACATGACGTGCACGGAGCACTTATGGTAGCTGTGGTACGTGTCGTACACAGCGTACCTCGTGTACGGGTCCATGGACCTGTACACTGTGCTTGCACATGCGTCGTGCATGATGCGAGCAATGGCCATGAATCTGTTCAGGCGACAGCACAGCAGAAGCTGTTGCCGCCAAAATATGGCAACCTTGTGGTGGGCGTACCGCACCAAAAGCTAGTACCGTACGGTACATGGTGTCGATGGGAGACACCTACCACCCACGGTTGTGTACCGTCACGGTACACGGTGTCGATGAAGGACACCTTCGCGCCGTTGGTATGGTGACCAACACGCGAAGAGAGCGTGGCAAAAGCTCCGTCCGCAAGGATGAATCCTTGCTAGAGCCAAAGGTATGGCCCGAGGTGAGCTGAGAGCTCCCTCTAGTGCTGGGGAAGGTGTTGCCCTTCTCGGTGTCGTCCCTCGCGGGAGACACCATGCTTCGGACGCGTTCGCGAGGACTGTCGTGTCCTCTGGTGCGAGCTGTGGGCGAATGCCACACGTTCGGATGTTATTGCACGCTGTGCCAAAGCACTGTACGCGCGCTAGCGCAGGAGCTAAGGCAGCTCTGAGTGTAGGCTTTGCGGCCAACACAGTTGTGAGCATAGGGATGCAAATCCCAGTGAGCTTTGGCAGCACAAGTCACTGTGGATGTGACTGAGAGCCGCGCCAGTCTCGTGGCTGCTCAGTGTGAGAAATCACCTTTTGGTGTTTTAATTCTCTCACTTCTGATTGGAGAATCAGGTGATTCTCAGTTAAGTGCGGGAGGATGTAACGGGGTACAATCCAGTGTGCCCCATGTTACATAAAGAGTGACCCGTCACTCTTGTGGACACCTGATACACGGTACCAGGTGCTCTCGGAACCAGTCAGTGCATGACTACTTAGCTCCACTATAGGTAACCTCTAGTTGGTATGTGACCCAAGCTTATCTTACTTATAAATACATCAGTCTTAAATCTACTCCTCTAAGTAGCAAACCGTTCCCACTGAGGCCGGGAACACGTGGACTTACGTTCACTCGGGTAGTTAATACCCTTAAGCACTTCCTCTGTGCAAGGTGCTGTGTGACCCCGTCACAGTTAACCTAAAGACCTCTATTAATAGAACACATATTCCTGAACTTGATCACTGAGGTTCCCCTTTACCTGCTTCGCTGTTCCCCGCCATATAATGCGAAGTTATTGCAGGCAGGGTGACATGGTGGAGGCGAAAGAAGGAGAGTACACTTAGTTGTCCTAGTTCGGAAGGCAGAACATCCTATACATAAAGAATAATATAGAGTATTTCTCTCTCTAATAGAACACATACAATCAATGTACCGGTATGCTACTATTTGCTAATGCCTCCGCTATCTGAGTTCATAAAACTGTTGTTGGATGTGTGCTCTCCAGATGTTTAAATAACTGCGTCGGATAAGAGCCGAAAGGTCAGCTTCGGGTTTGAGTGAAGCCACGGGCACCCGAATAACACTACTATGTTTCATAATTGGCGCTTATTCGAACGTGACTCGAGCAACCATCACGATGATCTTAAGAATATGAGAGAAAATATTCGGTCGATTCTTTGGTTCGCTACAATTTCAAGAAGGGGGTCTTGTCATTCTGCGTTCTTCACACTTAAAATACTATTTCTTTAGTGGCGATGTTCTATTTGTGCTTATGAAATACTCTTTCTTCGCTGCAAAATTAGCAGCCTGGGCGGATTCATGTGCAATACTTGAATTAGTGCCTGATGGTCACTAAAGATTATCAGTATGATATCGTCTTCGTTCGGGAGAGAAACGAAAATGGAGAGGAAACGCTTCGTTTTAGGCCTCAAAGCCTATCCAAAGATTCTTATCCGAAGCAGAAGCTCAACCTCGACAACAATAGTATCGATAGCATTTTGTAACCATCTCGTGCAAATTTCATTTACCTTTTAAATACGTGAGTACAACTTGAATCTTCACCCAGTATAGCGACAGCGACCGTCAGAATTTAAATTACTGCATCCTCTCTGTGATTCAAGATGAAGGGTCGATACACCGTCAATCCGTTCCCAGAACTCGCTCTAACCGAGGCCGACAGAGCCTCGCTCGAAGATCTCGCCAACGCCTACATCATGTCCAACTTGGAGCTCTGTATGAAATTCATGAGTTCAGGTAGAAGGGTGGACCCAGCGCGCTGGAAGCCTCTGAAGGAGAGAAAAGGACTCAAGATCTACTCCGAGAGGAGAGAAAGCGTGGGAACTGCTACCACAGACGAGTTATCGGGTGCGGGAATACCAACGATTCTCTGCGTTGGTACAAAGGAAGGAAAGCTGGACGACCTCATGTACGGCATCATCAGCGAAGACCTGGAGACCATGCGCATGAAGGCCTCGTATGCCGACAGTTTTAGCGCCGCAGCGGTGCTGGATGGTGTGGTCATGCCTTCTCTCGAAGATCCGTTCCGATCGCTCGTTGTCAAGTGGATGTGCTCGATATTCCCTTCAACTCAACTGGGTTGATCAAGAACCGCGATTACGTTTATCTTGAGGGTATCGGCACCGTCAGAAACGCCGCCGGAGAGCGCTTCGGCTACAGCCTGCTGCACTCGGTTAACTTCCCTCGGACGCACGCACTTCCGAACCGCGTGCGTGGCAACATTTCCTTTATCGCTTATTGGCGTGAGATGGGGAACAACACATTGGAAATGTACGCAACGGGTATCATCGATCCTGTGGACGAGGGAAGTTTGATTCGCAAACTTGTTCTCCCGGTCGTGGCCACCTTGTTCCTAGGAAGTCTCGACTACGTGTACTGTGGACAAATGCGCAAGCTGACTTACATGCTGGAGCGGCGCTACGAGAAATCCAAGACACGCGGAGCCCCCAACAAGCAGAGCACATGCGTCACGTGTGCGACTCCGATCACTGGGCGGAGGCTGGGCGACTTCGATAAATCTAACAGCACGTGCAAACTCTGCTTCGGCTTTGTGTGTCACGCGTGCAAGATCGTCCGTAAGCTGAGCTTTGTGGACCCGGACTTGCAGATGACGCAGCGCAAAGTGACATTTTGCACCAAGTGCGTGAGCGAGGTGACAAGCATGACTGCCATTGACATCGCGCGTGCCAAGCTGCTTGGAATGAAGAATGGAGGCAACTCCAGTGGAGCTACAGGCTACTCTTCTGTCAGTAACTTGTCCGACATATCGTACTGCAGCCAGTAGTTAACAGTATTCCTAGACCGAAGTGTCTATGGTAGGCCTAAGTCACACATAAAGATTATAGCTGAAAGCCTTAAACTGCTTTTCATGTAATACTAAAACTTAAAAAAAAAAAGTCTTTCGCTATATGCATATACTGCTCTCAGTAAAATATTACAGCAGATCTCAAAACCAGATCAAACGAGTTGGCACTGCTAAACCATAATCAATTTTATTAGAGACGAAGTTGCTCAGCTCCAGAGCAGCACTGTTTATCCTTAGTACGTAGTTCATGTACATCGCGTCCTTGGTGTTTGTCACTTAATTGTAGCGCATACAAACTTCAAATGAAGGGTCTTTATAAAATCAATATATTCGAATCAATTACAGTCAGACCTTATTTGAACCTCTATAACTGACTGCTCGCCATGGTCTTTGTCCACGAGAATATGCATCTTTCAGCGCACGGAGCAACGAACTATCACCGCTTCATTCTTCTCTATCTTCTCATTGAAGGCACCATGAGCGATCTGTTTCTTCTCGTGGCTACCGATGGATTTCTTGCCTGGTTTCAGTATATCTCGTTCGGCTATAATTTAATATACTTGAATGTAGTATCTCAACGCAAACGAGACTATAATATAGTCTCATAAACCTCATATTATGAGGTTTATTAAACCAGCCTCTTTAACTGACTAAAACTCTCTCTTCGCTAAACGGCAGTTAATTCCGGAGGTAAAACTCTCTATCTGGACAGGTGACCGTGGAATCCTCCTCACTTTTAGATTCCAGCTGAATTCCGTCAATCTTCCTTTTATAATCCCCGATGACACCACCACACTCAGCTTCGCCGACTCTAGACGAGACACTACAAGTATGCTTAAGGTCCCAGCGCAATCCACAGTTGAAGAATGTCGAGCTGCTCGAGTGTACACATTCAACCTTCAAAATGTCGGTGAGTGACAGCACTGTACGACGCATCTACGACAAACAACCAGCGGACTTCTGCAGCACAAATGCGACTGCTACGCGGCGCCGCCGCGTGGAGTTCCCTGAGTTAGAGTGTCAACTCGTAGATATTTCCACCGCAGTGAGCAGGCAAATATCATCTCAGACGACATGTTATTGCTTAAAGTTGGAGATATAAAAGCCAGTCTTGGTTTCGGTGATGATCAGCTACGATTAAGTAGCGCGTGGCTACATAAGTTCAAAACCCGCAATGGCATCTCTTCGAAGCGTTTGCACGGGGAGGCGGACAGCTCTAGCGGACTAGAAGTGCACTCGGTGCGATAGACACTGCAGGAAGTGACTTGCAACTACAAACCCAGACGACATCTACAACTTAATGAGAATGCGCTTTCTATCGTCTAGATCCCAACCAGACATTGGCAACTATAAACAGAAAAGAAAGGAAACGCGATAAAGCTCGTATCACAATTGCATTATGTTGTATACGCACAAGCTAGACCCGGTTGTGATTGTCGCAGCAGAAACCCCACGTTGATTTATTGGCGCTAAAAGGCAAGGCTGCTCAATACTACAATAGCAAAAAAAGCATGGATGACAGCCCGAATATTTTCCGAGTGGGTACAAAGTTTCAACTTAACGATGGCTGCACAAAATCGCAAGGTCCTGCTGTTGATTGACAATACCTCGAGTCACAAGATTACGCGGTCATATTCAAACATCGCGGTACGCTTTCTTCATCCTAATCTAACGTCGTCTGTTCAGCCATTGAAACAGGGTGAGTTATATGAATCTGTGTAATTACAGTACGGTGAACTAGTTGTTGTAGTACCAAGGCCTAACACTCATATCTTTTCTACTTAGGAATAATTCGATCACTTAAGGCTCGAAATCGGCGTCGATTTGTCTGCTGGTGTTTCAAAGCAATGGAGGGTGGCATCAAAAGAAAGTTGAGCATACTTGAGGTAATCCACTTCCGCATAGATAGCTGGAGTGACGTAGAAGTTGATTGTATACGCAACTTCTAGGTTAAGTCAAGAATCGTGAACACAGAGTTGATTGGGGAGATTCCGCAAACACGATACTACACAGAGGCCGCTGAAAAAGCGATCATCGACGACATTGAGAGCATGCTAACTGGAATTGCCGTTTATGAAGACGTTGACAGCTATTTAGAAATCGATTTAGATGCCCAAGTCCACGAGCCTATAGACGTTGGCTGCAGCTGCGGTTCACTTGGTGAAGACGATAGTGACAATCAAGAAGATGGCCCACCTGTACCTGTATCGACAGCCCTTGCTTATTGCGTGGAGCTTTCAGCATTTCTGTTTCAGTGTGAGGGGGACACTAAAGACCAGCAGAGTATATCTCTGACAAAGCTAGTGCGACCGCATGTGGTGAAGCGTAGGTGACAGCGGACACTCGATATTTACTTTTAGCAAGATGCTTACATGTAGCCATTTCTCTATGTGACCAATCTTTCATTTTTTAAATGAAAGACATTTTTTCGAGCCAATCGGGCGTCATTTATGGAGGTGTGACTGTATTCTAGGTTTACTGCCCCACGCAGGTAAAAGGAACGGTTTTATTCAATCTAGCAGGAAATACCAACAACTGGCTGTGTACGCTAGCTCCTTCTTTTGATTTAAAAGTTATTTAGGTTCATTTTCAAACTCAAATAGCTGAATTATCTGATTTGGTTGTTTTTAATACTCAAATTATTAATAATTCACTAGCGATATTATTGCTTGATAAACAGCCTATCAGTAGCGGAGTGAGTCTTTGTGGCAGTCAAATCGGCTAGTATTACTCGAAGCCTGCAGATTCAAACTGTGTTGCGAGTAATACTTGCTACCCAGTTTTCATACATACCTGTAAATGAAATGGACTGCTTCGATATATAGGCTTTTGTAGCAGAGCCGTCACGTCTCACGCCAATCTACGCAAAACGACGGAACGAGCTATCGCAGCACGCACTTTCCTGTAGCACACTGAGCTACATAATGTGCCCATTTTATGAGCGAAAAGCAAGCGGTGAGCCAGTCGTAGGACGGTTTTCAAATGTGTCCGCTTCGTCGTGCTTTCCGCGATCATGTTGGTGAAATGTGTACACGCTAAAGATTTAGAGCGTAGAGAGTGCTGATTGAAAAGTAGATACTATATACGAGAAGAAACCGCCACGCGACGAAGTATAGAGCCCGAAGTCGGGCGATGGTCGCTACAGCAGGTGAGCTTGCTGGAAAAAAAACTGTTGTGAGCTTTTGAAAGAAAAAAATCTTTCTGACAATAGATAATGACAGCCTTGCTTAATCGGATTACCTTCTTCAACAAAACCAAAATCCAATTCTAGACGTGTAAGGCTTATATGCGATTACATGTGTTGTATTTCAAATAATGCAAACATTCATCTATAACGTTATAAAGGGTTAAAATTAACAGATACACGTTTTAGTGCAAAAACGTACCCGATAGTAGCTTTACTAGTCTTAAGTCATCTTGAGATTTGTAAAATTCAATAGGTGCACTACCAGCTCAATTCTCTAGTACTCTCTCCGTTTCAAATTACTTGACCAAATTATAGTTTGCTGAGCTTGCTGACAAAACTTTGGTCGAGACCACTTACCAAACGCACATTGTAACGGGGTAAGAGATACCGTTACTAGCTTACACTATAGTGTGGAGGAAGCTCGCAATAGTAAAACCAAGTCTTAAGTTTGTGTCAAATTCAACTCTGATTTATTTAGGACCAGGGCGGCTACCCCTGGTCTCATGTGAACCACTCAAACACATGTCTATACCTGATTGGTCAATAAGTGAGTCTGGCTCCTCACTATCAATCAATCAGATGATGCCACCTTGGCACACGCTACCCGTGTGCCACTTTACCTACTTATGTAATAACTAAAGAAATATCTAGCTACTCATGTAATTGGAGTTGGGCCCATTACACACATAAAAATAGTTAGCGCGATTAAGCGCTCCAGACAGTTTTTTTTTTTTTGCAGATGCTTTTAATTCGCACTCTATCTACGTTAGATAATATATCCCCCCGCAGAAAAACAAGAAATCTTGATTGGCTCGTCACTCATCCGATCTTATGGACCAAAAGGATACTGAGGCTATATATAATCCACCAGTCATAACAAAAATTCAAGTAGTTTGAAATACAATGCTATCTGAAGCGGGGGAATTTTAAGGAATGATAATCAAATATTCGTTTAGGGACTCAAAGACCACCGCAATCATCATCAAGGCTAAAAATTGAAGAATATATCCCAAAAGCAGTACCGATGTGACTCAATAGTACAGGAACCAGTACCTGCTTCATACGCAGTACCAACCACATTAAATCAGCTGAGCGCACGTCCACTTATATCTATTCATTGAATATATGTGGACAATAGTGTATAACGGAGTGACAATAAAGACCAAATGTTTTTTACTACACCGACAATTGGCATAGTGCTGTGGCCTAGCAATTAAGAGCCAAAGGCCACGAAGCATACGTACTTACCATTACCATGGGTCGTAGACCGATGAGATAGATAAGAACAAAGTAAATCTAACTCAATTTAACCGCTCAGCATCAGCCATATTGAAGGTGGCATAAGCCTCAATTAAATGGTCGAGTTACAAATAAATAAAGTGTTAGACCTTCGGAGAAATGTTTTGCTGTAAATATAATTATAGATGGCTTAGTTGTCTAAGAGGAAGTTCAGTGACATTCGGCTACCGTGGGCAGACCCTTCGTTTATAAATTGAACGTCTGGTCTATCTTCGAGCCGGTACGCGTTCTGTTCGCTTATCTGGGCTTGTGCGCTGGGTCTACATCAATGTTACTCGATGCTACACTAGATCTCTCATCTGTGTGTAAACACGGGCGATCAAATATCGTGGCTATATGGTCGCCATTAGTTTTATCCAAATCGTGTGCATGTGTCCCGTACCCGGGAAGATGGTGGCCATTTCAGGCGCCATGCGGCAAACAAGGATGAGGTCCTGTGTCCCGCTGTCCCGTCAGGTTGGTACCCGCTGGACTCGGCAACTCGCGTACTCCC